CCACCATCTATGTCACTATTGCATCCCTTTGTGTCATTGTCTCCCCCACATGTGTCACTACCGCTGTGAAACGTGTAACTGTGATCGCCGAATATTATTCCGCCGACTTTTTCCAACAAAACAGTACCCATCATACACCGTCGCCACTCTACCGGCACCACTATCCCACCGATACTTCCATCTCCGGTAGACTGCGTTGCCCAATCCTTACGCCCCAGCATCTCAAAATCAGTGACTGTCATCTGATCTTGTGCATGCTGCCGTCGGCGGTACCGCCCGACACATAAGCCCTCCCCACCACCCTACCCAACACAGTTGCAGCCACCACTTCGTCCGGCCACCGCCACCGTCCAATGACCAACACCATTGCCATACCTAACAACCACCAACCACCACTGCCCACCCCAACTTGACTTCCCAGCTCCTCCAAACCCCCTCTCGAGCCTGCCTACACTGCCCCAACCCCTTGCAGCCCCGCTCATCTGCCCCCAATTACCAACCAAGCTTCAACTCTGACCAGCCAGCCGGCCCTGCTCCGAGCAACCCAATGTTATTGTTAGAAAATAGAAGAGGTTGTTGGTTGTATGAGTAGAATAAGTGATTTTAGTGAGGTGTAATGTAGATGATGTGTTTTAGAGGAGAGCTCTTGTCTCTAGAAAAGTAGTATTGTATTGATGTTTCTTGGTTTTGCTTTTTTTGAAAATGAGTACAATGAGTCCTATTTATAGGAGCTAGAGGATCATTCTAGATCCTTATTAAATGCTATGATTCTAGAGTATTCTACATCTATGTCTAATTACTCTAGATTTTACATAAGAATTCTCTAGTAGAGAATTTTCTAGAATACTTTCTAGTTTTAACTCTCTAGATCATCTCTAGCCTTTTCTACATAGAATATTCTAGATAAATGCATCACTATTTAATACTCCTCCTTGATGCATTTGTCGGTGACTCCAAGCATTCTTCGCAGAAACTGAAATCTGTCTCTTGGCAGGGCCTTCGTGAAAATATCTGCCAATTGTTCTTCTGTTGGGCAGTACTTCATCTCAATATGCCCCTTTGCTTGGACATCTCTCAAGAAGTGATACTTGATATCGATGTGCTTAGTACGATTGTGCTGAATTGGATTTTTAGCCATCGCAATAGCTGACTTGTTGTCGCAAAATATTTGAGTCGCAGAACTTTGCAATTCTCCCATGTCTTCTAATATTCTTTTTAGCCATATAGCTTGGCACGCTGCTCCGGCTGCTGCAACATACTCGGCTTCGGCTGAAGATAGTGCAACAGAATCTTGCTTCTTTGATCCCCATGAGAAAATTCCCGAACCCAGCTTAAATGCGTAACCGGAGGTGCTTTTCATGTCATCTTGAGATCCAGCCCAATCACTGTCGCTATATCCAGTTAGTCGTGAGTCAGGAGTTGTTTTGTACCAAATACCATAATTGATGGTTCCTTGTAGATACATAAGGAGTCTCTTTGCCGCTCCATAATGAGTCTCAGTTGGACTTTCCATGAACCTCGAGAGCAAACTTGTAGCATACATGATGTCCGGCCTCGTAGCCGTTAAGTAGAGTAGACTCCCAATCAAACTTCGGTAATTGGTTGCATCCGTCTGCTTTGACCCATCTTCTTTCTTCAATTTTTCATTAGGAACCAGTGGAGTAACGACGGCTTTGCAGTCTTGCATTTTAAACTTCTTTAGCATGTCCTTAATATATTTTTCTTGAGATAAGAATATGCCTTCTTCTTCTTGACTTATCTCCATGCCAAGAAAGTAGTGCATTAATCCCAAGTCACTCATCTCAAAAGTGTTCATCATGTCTCTCTTAAATTCTTCAATTAATTTGGAATTATTTCCCGTGACAATTAAGTCATCAACATATAGAGAGACGATGAGAATGTCAGATTTACCTTGGGATTTGATGTATAGTGTAGCCTCGTTCTTACTCCTCCTGAACCCTTGACGGGTGAAGTATCCATCAATCTTGCTATACCACGCTCGTGGAGCTTGTTTGAGCCCGTAAAGCGCTTTCTTTAGACGAAGAACTTTTCCTTCTTCTTTGATGAATCCTTCTGGTTGCTCCACATACACTTCTTCTCGTAGCTCTCCATTTAGAAAGGCTGACTTGACATCTAGCTGATAAATTTTCCATTTCTTCTGAGCAGCAAGAGCTATGAGTGTTCTTATTGTGTCCATCCGGGCAACTGGTGCAAACGTCTCTGTGTAGTCAACTCCCGGTATTTGAGCATACCCCTTTGCAACCAGCCTTGCCTTATGCTTCTGAATTGAGCCATCGGGGTTCAATTTTGTTTTATACACCCATTTGACTCCAATAACCTCCTTGTTATGTGGAAGATCTACCATTTCCCAAGTATCATTCTTTTCTATCATTTTGATCTCCTCCTCCATTGCTTTAATCCAAACTTTTTCTTTGGAGGCTTCGGTGTAGCTATATGGCTCCAAGGAGCAAAAGTTGCATGTTTCATAGATGTCAGTAGACTCATATAGGTCTGCTAGAGTTCTTACCCGAAGAGGTGGGGACTCTGGTGAGGAGTCGTGATTTCTTGATGTATTAGCTTCAAAAGAGGACCTTGGAGTAGACGTGGGGCTTTGTTGATCGTGATTTTCCTCTTCTGGTATTTCCTCTAGTTGGACAGTAGTTGTCTTTCTTTCAACTTTTTCTGTCTCCCAATTCCAAGAGGCTTGCTCGTCAAACTCCACATCTCGACTTGTCACCAACTTCTTTGTCTCGAGATTGTAGATTCGATATCCCTTGGATTTGGAGCTATAGCCAAGGAAGATGCCCTTCTCTGTCTTGTCTTCTAATTTGTGCCTTTTAACAGAGGGAACATGAATGTAGCATATGCTTCCGAAGACCTTCAAATGTTTGGCTGAAGGCTTTTGTCCAGACCATGCCTCAATAGGTGTTTTGTTTAAAACCGCCTTAGTTGGACACCGGTTTAGAAGATAGACTGAAGTATATACTGCCTCTGCCCAGAACGTTTTAGGCATTCCTTTTTCAGCTAACATAGACCTTGCCATCTCCATGACTGTGCGGTTCTTCCTTTCGGATACCCCATTTTGTTGTGGAGTGTATGCTACTGTTAGTTGATGCTCTACACCTTCATCTTCACAGAACTTGTCAAATTCTTTTGAGTTGTATTCGGTACCTCGATCGCTTCTCAACTTCTTGATTTGATGACCACTCTGTTTCTCCACGAAGTTCTTGAATCTCTTGAATATTCTAAAGACTTCGGATTTTTCTTGGAAAAAATACACCCATGTCATCCTAGAGTAATCATCGATGAAGAGTATGAAGTACCTGTTCTTCGAAACTGAAGGCGTGCGCATTGGACCGCAAACATTGGTGTGGACAAGCTCTAGTATCTGTTTGGCTCTCCATGTCTTTTCTGTTGGAAATGGTTGCCTGTGCTGCTTCCCAACCATACATCCTTCACATACTCCTTCTCTTTCATCCAGTAGAGGCATGTCTCTCATCATCTTCTTTAGGTGTAGTAATCTCAAGGCATTGAGATTGAAGTGCCCAAATCTTCGATGCCATAGACTCGTATCACTCAGTTGAGCCACCATCGCCTTTTGTGGATATTGCCATTGAATAGGAAAATTTCTATTATTTCCCATTTTTACTTCAACAATTTCTTGATTATTGTTCTTGTCATAAATTCGGCAAGAATTTTTCTCAAAGTGCAAGGCATATCCACTTTCCATCATTTGGCCAACACTTAGTAGATTTTGTGCAAGGCGTGGCACTAGGAGAACGTTTCTAATAAAGCGCGTACCTTTCTTTGTATCTATGACAATGGTACCTTTCCCCTTTGCCTCCACCAAATCGCCATTGCCCATCTTGACTTTTGTCTTGATAGAGGTATCTAAGTCATGGAAGATGGTCTCGTTGGATGTCATGTGATTGCTGCACCCACTATCGATGTACCACTCTTCTTCTTTTGCTTCTATGGCTGAGTGACATGCGTAGAACATGTACTCCTTCTCCTTAAAATCTTCAGAATAGTTGGCGTGATAGTTTCTTCTATCTCTGCAATCTTTTTCTTCATGCCCGAACCTCTTGCAATTTCTGCATTGTGGCTTTCCTCGATGGTAGCAATCTTTCTCTAAGTGATTAGTCTTCTTGCATATTTTGCATGGTGGAAAGTTCGTCTTCCTCTCCTTGTTGTTAGAATTCCCATCTTTATGTGGTTTAAAGTTTTCACCATTTCTCGAGTGATTCCTTTTAATGTTGAGCTTAGACTGGAAGGCACTTTCTAATGAACTTTCGTGTCGTCTGTTTAGCCTTTGCTCACGTGCTTCTAGCGACCCCATTAATTCAGTGATGGACATTTTTGATAGATCTTTTGACTCCTCAATAGCCGAAACTACTGGATCATATTTTTCAGGGAGACTGATTAGGACCTTCTGGATTATTCTCTCGTCGGTTATGTTTTCTCCAAGAGTTCTCATTTCGTTGACTATATGTATAACCCGAGAGAAATAATCTTTTGCCATTTCAGAATCTCTCATCTTTAAATTTTCGAGCTCTCTTCTTAAACTTTGTAATTTAATAGTTCTAACTTTCTCATTTCCTTGAAATTCCTCCTTAAGAATATCCCAAGCTTCTTTTGCCGTAGTAGCACGAATTATTCTCGGGAAAATAGTATCACAAACGGATTGTTGAAGAAGATAGAGAGCTCTAGCATTTTGCTGTTTTTGTTTCTTACGTACCTCGGAAGTTGATGCGTCGTCGCTTCCTTTTTCCGGCATGATGATTCCTTCTTCAACAATATCCCAGAGATCATGTGATTCTAGGCAAGTCTTCATACGGACACTCCAATAGTCATAGCTTTCTCCATTGAACATCGGAGTTGATACCGAGAAGCTTGATGTCGTCATAATGCCCGCTTATGATCGAACAAGCTCTGATACCACTTGTTAGAAAATAGAAGAGGTTGTTGGTTGTATGAGTAGAATAAGTGATTTTAGTGAGGTGTAATGTAGATGATGTGTTTTAGAGGAGAGCTCTTGTCTCTAGAAAAGTAGTATTGTATTGATGTTTCTTGGTTTTGCTTTTTTTGAAAATGAGTACAATGAGTCCTATTTATAGGAGCTAGAGGATCATTCTAGATCCTTATTAAATGCTATGATTCTAGAGTATTCTACATCTATGTCTAATTACTCTAGATTTTACATAAGAATTCTCTAGTAGAGAATTTTCTAGAATACTTTCTAGTTTTAACTCTCTAGATCATCTCTAGCCTTTTCTACATAGAATATTCTAGATAAATGCATCACTATTTAATAGTTATCCTTGATTCACTTCTCCCAAACCAAGCCCAGCCCTGACCTTGTCCGCCATTCCCCCTTCTCCAGCCCCAACCTCTGCCACCAAGCTATCACTGGCCATCGTCCCTGTAGCTCGGCTATTTCACGCAGTTGCACAGCGGAACCCTATCCGTATGACATCATCGATGGTGATCCAGATCTGACCGTCATCGATGAACTCTGGCCCCAGGTCACTGTAGCCGTCGTCGCAGATCTGACGGTCGTCGCCCATCATCCTCGACCAGAATAAGGTAAAGAAGTAGAGTACAAACGAGGAGGAGACGGTGGCGGTGGCGCGGCATCGCTGCGATGAATACGGCGGCGGCGTGGATTGCGGTCATAAACGGCGATGTGGAATGCTGGCGGTGATAAAGTCGTGAACGGCGTTGTGGTCAGAGGCGGAGGCGGTGTGGATTGGGCGGTGGCGAAGTCCCAAGGTCAGCGGCGGCGGCGTGGATTGGGCGGTGGTGAACTCTGGAGTTGTGGAGCTCGATGGTTTTTGAGGAGCTGCCAAAGTGCTTTTGAAAGAAATCGAATTAAGGATCAAGTTTTTTATTTAAATGGTCACTTTTTTGTCCAAGTAAAAAGCACTCTTATTTTTGTCCATCCAAGCTTCACAAGTAATATTAGTGTCATTGTTTCTAGATAGTTTCACTAAAAAATTGACATTACCAAAGAGTAACAATGCCAATTTGTTGGCATTTGTTTACACAAAATGACATCTTTTATCAATTGAAGGTGGTGGTGCTAAGAGCCGGTAGAGGCGGCGGAAAAGGCATCCAAAAAAATTCATATTTTTTTTGTTTTCACTATTTCATTTTTTTTATTTTTCAAAAAATATTTTTTATAAATTTTTATTTTATAATTATATTATTAATATTTTAGTATTTTATTATGCTTTTTATTATTTTTTTATGATTTTATGATGAATTAAAACATTTTAGTCTTCATTAACATAGGGGCATTAAGGGTAGAAAATTAATTTGAATGATTTGGATTTTAGTCCTATTTAAAGCTTTAACACCCCCAATTTCCACACCCAATTATAATAAACATATCCTTTTATTTAATAATGATAGAGTGTATTCCCATATACCTCAGGGGTATCACAATCAACGGACAAAGGGCTTCCCATGTAACACCCCCAAATTTCCCACCCAAAAATACCTTTAAATAAAAAATTATTTATTAAATTAATTTGAAAACATCAGAATTGTGCAGCGGAAAATCAAAAGGGAAATAGGGGCATTACCGCCACACTCGATTCTCCCTTAACCGAGTGCACACGCTAAAACAACTTAAACTAAAAATAAATTAAAATTTTAAAATAAATGTTGACTAATTTAAGATGCTGAAAATATAATTACAGCTATTTACTAATTTGATGTTCTAGCGGAAGCTCTCTCGAAATCAACTTCAACCGGATCAACTCAACACCTGTACAAAATCAAGTGCACAAAGAAAAAAAATAAAAGATACAAACATTAGCAAAAATGCTAAGTAAGTTCCACCTAACCCCCAAAAAAATAAATAAATAATACGGAGTATATATACATATATATATATAATATATATATATATAATATATATATTTGTAAAACATTTCGTAAAAAAATATTTTTTCAAAATACTTTATAAATCATAAGTAAAACAACATTTATAAAATATTCTTATAACACACATAATATGCAAAATATCAATACTTCAAATATAAGTACATATTTCAAAACCATAATATTTCCAAAACATCAATATACATAAACCACCAAATATGATCACAATTATTCCAAACCGTAAATCAAACATCAAATATTCATCTCAAAATACATATAAATAATTATAAACGATTTTCAATATAATCAAACCAAATCAAATCCAAAAGTATTTATACTCTAAAAACTCACAAATAAATTAATAACTCAATCCAACTCAAATTCAATCCAAATATAATCCAATCAAATAATCCAACAATTCCAATCAATCTAATAATTTAATTCCACCACAAATCCGATCAAATAATATTCACTTCAAGTCCAAATCAAGCCAATCAAATAATCCCAATCACCTCAACCCAATCGAATTCCAGTCAAACCAAGTCCAGTGGAAGTCGAACTCCTACCTTAAGTGTGCACAGCCCCTAAAAGGGATTCCAAGCCCTCCAGGTAGTAAGAAGTCTGAGTAGTCGGGATTTTTCTACCAACTACACTACAATTAAGCTGGAATACTCCACTTTTGGGAAGTACCCCTGGTGGATTTAGACTTGTAGCCATTCCACTCACCAAATATTCCACATTTATCTGGATGTGGCAAACCGATACCACGGATTTCTCCGAGTGCTCACAAAATCATAATTCAATCTCAATCAAAACGGATATGAAATCCAAATTCCACAAAATCATCCACAATGTAAAATATTAACTCCAACAAACTACACTCGAATTCACCATACAATCAAATTTCACAAAAGAGCCAAATACTTCATAAATATAATCCCAATGGCAATTCGTAACATATCTCAAATACTCAAAAATATCATCCAATATCCAATACTCAAATCTCAAATATAATTCTCAATAACAATCCATAAGAAATTCCAAATACTCAAATGTAAATACTAGAAATCTCATAAAGTACTCAAATAATTTCAAAAATGATTTATGAGTAAAAATATAATTTTGATTGACGTGAAACTTACCTCAAACTTCAAGTACTCCTAGCGAAATTTTTCTACCTTGCGCTTCACTCAATTTACCTTCTATTTAAAATTCAAAAATCAATATCTTATCCAAACTATAGATTAATCCTTCTATCCTTTTTTATGAATTCCTCCTCTTATGATTGTACCAATATAGTACGTATATTATTCGTTTGTTTTAGAATACAAGTTTTAATTTATCCTTACCGCTTAATCCATTCAATTAATTAGTTCAGTAACATTTTATTCCTTTTCTCAATAATCCAATGTTATTATTATAATCCAATGACAGTACTCCACAATAAATTGTTGAATTGCAAAATAATAAGTCATGTTAGTCTATATGATGGATAGTGTACCCGAGGTAGCTTATCTGAGGGGTTATTCGGGGAACAACTTAGAGAGAAATCAAAGCAAATAAATAAGAGGGAGTGAATTCGAATATATGGGTTATGTATGCAAGACGTGGTTTACAATGGGGAAAGAGGCTACTATTTATAGTAGTAATAAATGCTAGACAGGGACATGTGTCAAGCATCTGACGGCCGAGGGTCACTTCAATCGGGTGGCACCGGCATTTACATGTGGCCGCATTAAATGCGGTGGTTGGATGTGACGTCGTACTTGGTACGGCGATCCAGGCACACGTGGAGAGGATATGCTGTCGAGGAAGACGCCCTCGGCTGTAGATGATAAGCCGAAGGCTCTTCGCACCGGGAGCTTCATAGTGCCGAGGGCTCTAAATGCAGAAGGCTTGGTTCTCAAGCCTTGTTCTCTTGTGATGTTCTTGAGTTCGATTCCGTCAACGCTAGCCTTCGGCCATGGGGCCGAGGGCATCCCCTTGCGTATTGTGGGTTGTTCAGAGCTTCTTTGTGCTGGGCTTGGCCCATTTGGGCCTGTTGGGCCTGATTGTAGTAGTAGGAGTCTGTGGGCCGAGAGTCCCTAGGCCATATACTCCATCACTATAGTTATTATTATATGATTATAATGATTATAATTCATCTATTGTGTTGGCTGACCCAGTAGTAAAATAAACAGCCCAGCCCAATTAACATACGGAGTAAAACAAGATACGGAGCAAAACTCAGAGTACGTACATTTCATCGCCTTCTTCGTCGTTCACTCCCAGAGTCCCATCCGGCAAGCGTAGGCGGTGACTTCCGACGGAAACAACAAGGCATTGTGGGCGGCGGTGACCCAGTAGTTGTCCTCTCCAGTGGTGGCTCTTCTACTTCCTTCTCAGTCGAGCAAAAATAAGCCGGCAGCAACTCCGGCGATGAGAACCTCTTCAACGGTGTACAACGATCTAGCGGCAGTCGACACAGTCTAGTGATTCCTATCAGCAGCACAGACAGTGACTCACTCGGTCACTCCGGCGGTGGGAACACGGTCAAGCTTCTCCCCTTCCTCCGGCAGTCCGACGTGAACCAGTCCGGCAAGCATGGCTACGGTTCTCCGGCGTTCGTACCTTTTCTGCGGTGAGTCGATGAAGTTGGTGGCGGCGATCCGATGTGGCAGCGATCCGATGTGGTGGGTGGCGGCGATGACTTCGGCTGGTCTTTCCTCTTCTTTCATTTCCCTCTCTCACGCTCTGTTTTCTTTTCTCGGTTTCTTTCCTTTACTTCGTCACTTTATCCTCGTGTCGCAAAGGTAAGCCGCAACAACTCTATTTATATGCATCGTCGAAGGTTCTAGTCACTCAGTTATAATGGGTAGCGTACTCCGTGTATATCGCCGTGCGTTACGCTTTCTATATGTATGACAACTATGAAGTACTCCAGCCTAGGGTAATAAACGAATCGAATCGAACCGAATACTTGATAATATTATTCGTATTCGTATAATTATCAATATGGATAAATCAATGGAGAATTTTAATCGTAAATTAAGCTATTTTGACCTGGTAAGTAATAATTTTTAAATTAAAATATGCAAAATATTTGCAAGAATATTTTATTATTAATATTTTTACATTGAACTATATGTATTCATAAGAAGTAGTATATATTGTATGAATATATAAATAAATAAATATATATATATATATATATATATATATATATAATTCGAATATATTCGAATATTATTCGAATCGAATATTATTCGAATCGAATATCACAGTATTTGTATTCGTATTAGACTATTCGTAAAGTATTCGAATCAAAAAATAGATTTGTATTCGTATTCGTATTCTACTTACTCAAAATCGAATCGGCATTTTCGAATTCGAATCACGAATCGAATCAAAATTATTCGATTTGTTTACAACCTTACTCCAGCCTGATAGCCGTTATATTTACTTGTGTTTAACATAAGTATTTATAAGTATTTGTTGAAGAAAAGAAGAGAAATTGGGAAAATATCTTGAGAATGAGAGTTAGAGCATAAAACATTGTGATGAACAGCTTTTGGGACCAAAAGGATGACGTTTTGCCCATCATTTGAGTATAACGTATTGTAGAGTACTCGAAATCACTCCATTCGATTTTCATGTGAATGGTAACTCAATAAGGTACAAATGTTATGAAGACATCATGGCCAGAATAGGAAAGGAACAATACTCAATCAACCGATAAAGTCAAATGTTGCTGGTGGGATTTCAGGGTGCATACCTCTCAGTGTTTTATCCATATCTGTTGATTGGATGCATAAAATCACGTCATTCAAGTTTTGTTGGATAGAAGACTTCTTATCTACAACTTTGGTGAAGGAATCATGTCCAAATTCGTAGCGGAACATCTCCAAAATCCCGGTACAAAAACCGACACTTTTTGATCCATTTCGGAGGAAGAGAAATGAAGTACATTTTTGGGCGCAGCAACCGGTGCCGGTCGGTCTTGAACCGGCGCCGGTCGGAACGCTTTTTCTCGCACAAATGAGTCTGTTCCCAAACGGGGCCGGTCATCTGACCAACCGGCGCCGGTTGGGTCGATTTTCTGCTAAAAAACAGCATCGTACAAGCTGATTCTTGATGGGAAAACCTCATCTTCCTCAATGCTAATCAAATATTGCTTCCATACCTCATTGTTGGGTTCGAATAGACTAAAAGATGCCATTCTTTAGCCTATATAAAGCCCTCAATTCATCATACAAACACATTCCATTCCATAGATTAATTCTTAGCTTTTATATTTTTGTTCTTAGTATTTTCTTCAAGTTCTTGAGGAGGGAAGTTCATCCTCCGAAATCACTGGTGTTTAGGTATTATTTCCTTTGTAATTTCATGTTCCATTACATTTATTGTTGTATTGTGATTAATATGAGCAT